CCAGATAGCTCACAAAGTGTTATTGGTTTGAATCTCCTTTACCTCCTCTCCTCCCATTGTCCATAGGAGTGCAGATTTATCAAGACCTTTTGATCTTACAAGCTAATAAAGGGTATTGGCAGGCTGACCTAGAAGCCTGTAATTATGTTGGAAGGATTAGTCAATATGGCTCACCCAGTGGGGATGAATTGAAGTAATTCCTAGCAGTGAATCAATGATATTTCTACCTTATGTTGGAAGGAACTAGAGACCAAATTGCCAACATTCATGAAGTTATGGAGAAACAAGTGAGTTGCATAAAAAAAAATCTACTGCTTCATTGCCTACGCTAAAACCTTTGACTGTGTGGATCAAGTGACAAAGTCTTCAAAGAGATGGGAGTGCCAGATCATCTTACTTTTCTCCTGAGGAACATGTATTTGAGTTAAGAAGGAGCAATTAGAACTGAACATGGAACAACTGACTGGTTTAAGATTGGGAAAAGAGTATAACAAGGCTGTACATAGTCACCTTATTTATTTAATTTATGTGTGAAGTGTATCATGTGAAATGCTAGGCTGGCAGGATCAAAAACTGGAATTAAGGTTGCCAGGAGAAATATCGACAATCTCAGATATACAGATGATATCACTCTGATGGCAGAAAGTGAAGAAGAATTAAGAAGCTTCTTGATGAGGGTGAAAGAGCAGAGTGTAAAATCAGGCTTGAAGTTTAACATGAAAAAAAAATACCCAAGATCATTGGCAACTGGTTTCATCAGTTCTTGGCAAATAGAGGGAGAAGAAATTGAAGTAGTATTGGATATTACATTCTTGGGCTGAAAGATCACTGTAGACAGCAACTGCAGCCATGAAATTAAAATGTGCTTGCTTCTTGGAGGGAAAGCTTCAGCAAATCTGGGCAGCACACTAAAAAGCAGAGATATCATCTTGCTGTCAAAGGTTTGTATAGTCAAAGTTATTGTTATTCTAGTAGTAATGTATGGCTGAGAGTTGGACAATATGGAAAGCTGAGTGCCACAGAATCAATGCTCTCAAATTGTGGTGCTAGAGAAGACTTTACTTTGGCCACATAATGAGAAGACAGGACTCATTGGAAAAGGTCCTTATATTGGGAAAGATGGAAGTAAAAAGGAGAAAGATATGGCAGAGAATGAAATAGATAGATAGCATCATGGAAGCAACAAACATGAGCTTCAAATGACTTTGGGAGACAGTGGAGGATACAATGGCCTGGCATCCTATGATCTATGGGGTTGTGAAGAGTCACATATAACTGAATGAATGAACAACAACGAATAAGTGGAATGGGCTGCCTTGGAGGTGGCCTCTCATTGGAGATCTTACAAAGGCTAGATGAGCATTTATCTAGTTTGTTACATGCAGGATGCTTTTTCAGGGAAACACTGGATAGTTGAGCTCCCTTCCAACTCTGAAACCCTGGGATTCTGAGAAGGGATGGTGTCCATGTCAGTTAGAACTCCTTAGCAAGCTAGTTGTACAGTATGTGGTCAGAAGTGTGTGATTTCTCAATGAACAGAGAATCTCTCATCTTCTTAAAAGTTCCTCAGAACCCAGCCCAGCCCTGATGACTTCCCAGGTGTCCTGGACTCTTGATTGAGTAGTGAATACTTTGTTGTCTGCTCCTTTCTTGGCACCTTTCTCTATTTCAAATGATTTCTTTGAAAAACCTTATCTTGAATTCTCCTAACACCAACCCTGTTTGATTTTTCCACCCAAAGAGCCTCTCTGTTACAGCTTGAATCTCTGGCAAAAGAATATGATTCAGATTTCTAAAAGCCCTATACTGCATTGCCCTGTCCATGATCCAGCAGGAGTATCAGAGTCAGGTGGAGCTGTATACTAGCATCTTCCTGGAGATAGACATGAGGCAATGCAAGATCCATATCTCCAAGGTCTGAGCTGCAGACAGCATGACAAGGAGGAGCAATAAGAAGCAACAGAAAAGAGACCTATATTGACAAAGGACATAACAAAGAATTATAGGTGATGTCAGCAAGAAGCTGAAAAGAAGACACCTTCAATGAAAAGCAAAAGATAATTCCCTAAACCAAAATTGAAAGTGGAAACATGTTTTCCATGTGTTTTGACTTCTTCTGGAAGTCTGTTCATTCCCCTTCCATTTATATGGTGAATGCTATATACAATTTGCATGCTGTCTCCTCCATCAGAATGTGAGCTTCTCCTGGGCAAGGGACTGTTTTTGCCTTCCTTTGTATCCCCAGCACTTAGCACAGTGCCGAGCACATGCTAGGTATTTAATAAATGATTGTTGATTGGCTGCTCATCTTCTAGCCCTAGATAGTAAAAAGAAAAATGAAGTCTCCAAGATCTCTAGGTCAGAAGATATCTAGAGATTTCCAGTGGGAAAGAATGAATGGGTTAATAAACGAATGAGTGAATGAACAATTATGAATTTATTATTTAATTATTTCCATGGGCTTAATTATCATCTCTATTCATATGACTCCTACATCTATATATGCAGCCCAAGTTTTTCTCCCAAGCTCTGGTTCTATTTCACAAACAGTTAATTGGACATTTTGAACTCAGTATGCTTTAAGCACCTCAAATTCAACATGTCTAAAATGGAACTCATCATCTTTTCCCTAACATCTTCCCCTCTTCCAAACTTTTCTATTTTTTTTAAGGGTACCATCATTTTTCCAATTACTCAGATTCAGTTACCCAGATTCACAACCTTGCAGCCATCCTTAACTCCTTGCTGTCACTTACCCCACACAACCAAATTTAGGCACTTCTATCCCTGAAACACCTTTGAATACATCTTCATTCACATAGCCACTCCTTTAATTTGGGCTCTCATAATCTCATAACTAAAATAGCCTCCTAAATGGTCTCCTTGCCTCAAATCTCTATCTATTCCAACCAATCCTCCATATAGTAGGTAAAGTGATTTTCTTGAATTGTAGGTCTGATTATGTTATCTCCATACTCAACAAACTCCCCAGGCTCTCTATTATATCTAATATCAAATATACCTTCCTCTGTTTGGCATTTAAACTCTTCATAATCTGTTGCCATCTTACTTTTCATTTGATGCTCCATCTTTTGTCTCCATATCATTGCACTGGCTGTTCTCATGCCTATAATGCATTCTTTCTTCATGTTCACTTCATGGAATCCCTGGTTACCTTTAAGATCCAACTTAAGTGATACCTTCTGCATGAGATCTTCCCTAGTGCCACCAGTTTCTAGTACCTCCCTCCACCCCACGAGATTAATTTTGTGTATGTGTAAGAGAGACCATGTTTTTCTGAGAAAAGCAGTTGCTGAGTTGTCTGCATTGAGGCATAGGTCTGCACAGAGATCAAAAAGATGCAGTTGCAAGTTGAATCTGACAGAGTTCTGATACATCAATTGCTCATTTTAATGGGACAAACTGTAGAATACTGGACTGAATGAAGAACGCAGAATGCTTCAGTGAGCTGCGTATGAAGAATTGAAGGATTAGATTACTTTTAGGCTAATAACAGGATATGTGGATTAAGAATTGTTCTTTAATTATAGGACAAATATACTTTGCCTGATCAAAGACAGCAGACAAAATTTTGATTACTAACCATAAGCTAAGGTGGGGTAATTCACAGAGAGGATCCAGACTACAAATCCAGAAAGATTAAAGAAGTGAAAGGACAGATTTCAAAATTGTGTTAGAGACCATAACTCTCTCTCTGTACTCACACTAGATGCTAAGCCAATTAATTTGCCAGCTAGAGTCAGACTACTCTCTAGAGTTACTTGTTGCTGAAAGGAAGAAGGAAGAGAGAACATATACTGTATTCTCTATTATGACTTGCTGCTGGAAAGATGGATAATAAGGAGTAGAGAGAACATTCTCTGCTATCTATTGTGATTTTCTGCTGAGAGAAGTGAAGATAGAATATACTTCTCTGCATTGCTACTTGTTGTTGCTGAGAGGAAGAAGAGAAGAATCCTGAGAATCAGAGATGAAGAGGTCTTTTCTAAATTTAGGGTAAAAGTCATTGCCTTTTCCTAAAAGAGCATAACACTACTTTAGCTGAAGGCATCAGATAAGCCTGAATCTGGAAGTGATAGATACTACAGTGGCTATTGACGAGTAAGTATAACTGACGAGAAGAACAGCTTGGAAGCAGAGAATCAAAGAAGTCATTCAGTGGATTGATCAGGGTGACTGAGATGTTAGTCCAAGTGAAGTATTATTCAAGCATGGGGTAGATAAACTTTAGATTAGAAGTGGAAGCTTCTGTTAAATATAGAAGCTACATTCATCAAAGAACTCTTATGGAAAGTTCTTGAGACAAGAAGAGGACATTAAAGTTTTCAGTTCCAGAGTTGTGTTATGTCAAACACATGGGTTTTCCTTACTCACATGCTTCTCTGACAGGTTTGTATCTACTCTTCCATACAAGCACTAAGTATATTGATGGAAGAATGTGACCCAGGTTTATGTGCAAAGTGTGATGCATTTATTATTCTTGCATTTGCCTTACATGAATAATTATGATATTATTTTTGTTTATTTTACTTTATTGTTAAATAAATAGTTATAGTTACTATCTAATGTGCCAATTATTACAAATTATTGTAAATGGTTGAATTTATGTAAACAGAAGTACAACAGTGAGAGCTTGAGATCTATGATGACTATGGGGAATGTATTCCCTCACAAAAAGGCTACCTTAAGTGCTTGAGAGAATTTGAGCATAGCCAATAGTGATTCTTCAGATGTTTCATAATGCATTGTATGTACTTACATATGTGCAGTTTTTCCTTCATTAGAATGTAAGCTCCATGAAAGTAGGAAATTTTTTCTTTGTATCTCTAAAACCTAGCCTGGAACATAGTAGGCACTTAATTAATGACTGTTGATTGAGAGAGTGAGAATTAAATGGTTAATTGTCCATTACTCAGCCTTAGGAACAAGAATGAAAATAAGGGAGGGGAATGGGACCAAGGAAATGGGCAGGCACCTACCTGGGATCAGAATTGTGTGAAGGGGCATCACCTCCACCCCGTGGATAGGGTACCCAAAAGGGATATTTGGCTGGGCCAGCATAGGTGGAGGGTGGGGCAGTCCTTCTCTGCAGAAGAAAGAGAAATATTAATGCACTGTTTTGAGCTCCTCTTGTCCCATTTGTTCTCACCTCCAACAAACAATTACAAAACATTTTCCATGGGCAGTGACTTGTGATGGTCTGTGGGAAGAGACAACATGAGGAAACTTTCCATCTGATGGCAGAAATGTGGTTCCTGCCTTTGGTGAGTTCCCACTGTATTAGGGGAGACACAGTATCTTCTTTCTGGAAATGTCTAATCTAATTGTAGGAAATAGAGTATACGCACCAAATATAACTTGACAATGTGCACACACACACACACACATATAAAATTATTATTATTATTATTACAAGTATGTTTTGCTTTCCTGATTGCTTGTGTATAATAAAAGCTAGCATTAAGCATAAGTAGCTCTTTAAGGTTTGCAAAGAGCTGTTTATATGTTATTTCATTTGATCCTCACAAGAGCCCTGTGCTATTATTGCCCTCATTTTATGAATGAGGAAATTGAGGCAGAGAGAAGGTAAGTGACTTTCCAAGAGTTACAGAGTAAGTGTCTGAGGCTGGATTTGAACTCAGATCTTCTTGAACCCAAGTCCTACCTTCTTAACTACTGAGCTGCTTCATGTACACATAGTTAATTATGTATACATAGTTAAAAGACAGTTATTCTCTTGGGAAGGAAGGGACAGCTAAAACTACCTTCCTCTGGCACCACTTATCAGAAAGCTAATCTTTCCCTTTTGTTCAATTCCTGATCATCATACCTACTTCCATTACTCCTTCCCCACACCTACCTCTAACCCTTTTCTTACTCTCTTAAATTGCAGGACTCCAGTCAAACATCCCTTTTTCCTCTCCCCTGGAAGTCTTCTCTGACACCCCCTACCCAACTTTTTCGTCCCTTCATCTTCTCCCATATTCCCAGCTCCAATGTTTAGTAGAGAGTCTGTCTCTCATTTATCAGACTGGGAGCTCTGTCTGTGAGGGTAGGGGCTGTTCCTCTTATTCTTCTATTTTTAAAAAAATTATTTATTTTTAGTTTTCAACATTCACTTCCATAAGATTTTGAGTTTTAAATTTTTTTCCTCTTCTTTCCCTCTGCCCTCCCCAAGACAGCATACAAGCTGATATAGGCTCTACATATACATTCCTATTAAACATATTTTCACATTAGTCATGTTGTAAAGAAGAATTAGAACCAATGGGAGGAACCATGAGAAAGAAGAAACAAAACAAAATGATAACAAAAAGAGAGCAAATAGTATGCTTCCATCTGCATTCAGACTCCATAGTTCTTTCTCTGGATGTGGATAGCATTTTCCATGATGAGTCTTTTGGAGTTGTCTTAGATCCTTGCATTGCTGAGAAGAGCTAAGTCTTTCAAAGTTAGTCATCACACAATGTGGCTGTTACTGTGTAAAATGTTCTCCTGGTTCTGCTCACTTCATTCAGAATCAGTTCATATTTTATTTTTTGAGGCAAATGGGGTTAAGTGACTTGCCCAGGGTCACACAGCTTGCAAGTGTCAAGTGCCTGAGGCAGGATTTGAACTCAGGTCCTCCTGGTTCCAGGGCCAGCGCTCTATCCACTGTACCACCTAGCTGCCCCAGCATCAGTTCATATAAGTCTTTCCAGGTTTTTATGAAGTCCACCTGCTCATCATTTCTTATAGCACAGTAGTATTCCATTACATTCATATACCACAACTTATTCAGCCATTCCCCAGTTGATGGACATCTCCTCAATTTCCACTTGTTGGCCACCACAAAAAAGCTGCTATAAATATTTTTGTACATGTGAGTCCTTTCCCCCTTTTTATGGTCTCTTTGGGATATAGACCTAGAAGTGATATTGCTGGGTCAAAGGGTATGTACAGTTTTCTAGCCCTCTGGGCATAGTTCCAAATTGTTCTCCAGAATGGTTGGATCAGCTCACAACTCCTCCAATAATGCATTAGTGTTCCAATTTTCCCACATCTTCTCCAGCATTTGTCATTTTCCTGTTTTGTCATGTTAGTCAATCTGATAGGGATGATGTGTTACCTCAGAGTTGTTTTGATTCACATTTCTTTCATCATTTAATGATTTAAAGCATTTTTTCATATGACTATAGGTAGCTTTAATTTCTTTATCTGAAAATTACCTATTCGCATCCTTTGACCATTTGTCAACTGGGGAATGACTTGTATTCTTATAAATTTGTCTCAGTTCTCCATATATTTTAGAAATGAGGCCTTTTTCAGAAACACTGGCTGTAAAAATTGTTTCCCAGCTTTCTACTTCCCTTCTAATCTTAGTTGCATTGGTTTTGTTTGTGCAAAAACTTTTCAATTTAATGTAATCAAAAGCATCCATTTTGCATTTTGTAGTGTTCTCTGTCTCTTGTTTAGTGATTAATTCTTCCATTCTACATACATCTGACAGGTCTGACAGGTAAACTATTCCTTGTCTCCTAGTTTGCTTATAGTATCAGCCTTTATATCTTTATATGTATTTTGACTTTATCTTAGTATATGGTGTAATATGTTTGTCTATTCCTGGTTTCTGCCATACTGTTTTCCAGTTTTCCTAGCAATTTTTGTTAAATAATGAGTTCTTATCCCAGAAGCTGGAGTCTTTGGGTTTATCAAACAGTAGATTACTCTAGTCATTGACTATTGTGTCTTATATACTTCGTCTATTCCACTGATCCACTACTCTACTTCTTAGACAGTACCAAGTAGTTTTGGTGATTGCTGCTTTATAATACAATTTAAGATCTGGAATGACTAGGCCACTTTCCCTTGCATTTCTTTTCATTAATCCTCTTGATATTCTGGGCCTTTTGTTCTTCCAGATGAATTTTGTTATTATTTTTTGTAGCTCTATAAAATAATTTTTTGGTAGTTTGATTGGTATGGCACTGAATAAGTAAATTAATTTAGGTAGAATTTTCATTTTTTAATATCAGCTCAGTTTACCCATGAGCAACTGATATTTTCCCAATTATTTAGATCTGACTTTATTTGCATGAAAAGTGTTTTGTAATTGTGTTCATATAATTCCTGGGTTTTTTTGGCAGGTAGACTCCCAAATATTTAATAATGTCTACAGTAACTTTAAATGGAATTTCTCTTTCTATCTCTTGCTGTTGAGCTTTATTAGTAATATATAGGAATGCTGATGATTTATGTGGGTTTATTTTACAGCCTGCAATTTTGCTAAAGTTATTTATTATTTCAAGTAGTGTTTTACTTGATTCTCTAGGATTCTCTGAGCATACCATCATATCATCAGCAAAGTGTGATGGCTTTGTTTCTTCTTTGCCTATTCTAATCTCTTCAATTTCTTTTTCTTCTCTTATTGCTAAAGCTAACATTTCTAGTACAATATTGAATAACAGTGGTGATAAAAGACATCCTTTTTTCATCCCTGATCTTATTGAAATACCTCTAGCTTATCCCCATTACCTATAATGCTTGCTGATGGTTTTTGATAGATACTACTTATTTTAAGGAAGACTCAATTTATTCTTATGCTCTCTAGTGTTTTTAGTAGAAATATGTTGTATTTTTTCAAAAGCTTTTTCTGCATCTATTGAGATGATCATGTGGTTTCTGTTAGTTTTGTTGTTGATTTGGTCAATTATGCTGATAGTTTTCCTAATATTGAACCAGCCCTGCAGTCCTGGTATAAATCCTACCTGGTCATAGTGTATTATCCTTGAAATAAGTTGTTGTAATCTCTTTGCTAATATTTTGTTTAAAAATTTTGCATCTATATTCACCAGGGAAATTGGTCTATATTTTTCTTTCTCTGTTTTGGCTCTTCCCAGTTTAGGTATCAGCACCATATTCATATCATAAAAAGAATTTGGTAGGATTTCTTCTTCACCTATTTTCCCAAATAGTTTATATAGTATTGGAGTTAATTGTTCTTTAAATATTTGATAGAATTCACTTGTAAATCCATGTGGCCCTGGAAATTTTTTCTTAGGGAGTTCATTGATGGCTTGTTCAATTTCTTTTTCTGAAATGGGGCTATTTAAGTATTTTATTTCCTTTTCTGGTAATCTGGGCAATTTATATTTTTGTAAATATTCATCCATTTCACTAAGACTGTCAAATTTACTGGCATACATTTGGGCAAAATGGCTCCTAATTATTGTTTTAATTTCCTCTTCATTGGTGGTGAATTCACCCTTTTAATTTTTGATACTGGTAATTTGGTTTTCTCCTCTTTTTTGATCAAATTAACCAAAGGTTTATCTATTTTGTTGTTTTTTTACCCCATAAAATCAGCTCTTAGTTTCATTGACTAGTTCAACAGTTTTCTTAATTTCAATTTTATTAATCTCTCCTTTGGTTTTCAGAATTTCTAATTTGGTGTTTAATTGAGGATTTTTAATTTGTTCTTTTTCTAGTTTTTTTAGTTGTATGCCCAAGTCATTGATCTCCTCTTTCTCTATTTTATTCATCTCAGCATTTAGAAATATAAAACTTCCCCTAAGAACAGCTTTCACTGCATCTCATAAATTTTGGTATGTTGTCTCATTATTGTCATTCTTTTGGATGAAGTTATTGATTGTTTCTGTGATTTGTCATTTGACCCACTCATTCTTTAGGATTAGATTATTTAGTTTCCAATTAATTTTTAGTCTATCTTTCCATGGCCCTTTATTACATGTAATTCCTCTTATTCTTTTTGTCTCAACAACCCAACACATACAGACACACCCTACCACCAACCCTGATCAACACAGTGTTCTGTCCATAGAGGTATCATATCCATCAGTGGTGGTGAATAAAAATTGCCCTTGAATAGAACCTGAATATAGTTTGCCTAAATACCCACACAAAATTCAGGTTCCAAATAGATTCTCTATCCTTTTGTTATTGCTATTCAGTTGTGATCCTATTTGGGATTTTCTTGGCAATGATACTGTAGTGGTTTGCCATTTCTTTCTCCACCTCATTTTGTAGATGAGGAAACTGAGGCCAACAGTGTTAAGCGACTTTCCCAGGGTCACATCTCTAGTAAATGTCTGAGTTCAGATTTGAATTCATGAAGATGAGCCCTTCTGATTCCAAGTCCAGGGCTCTGTCCACTGAACCAACTCTTTCCCTCACCCTCAGATATTTCCTGCTTTTCCCCCTCAGTTCCATCTTCCCAGCCCCTCAGATTGACCTAAATCCCCCTCACCAATATGACAAAAGATGGATCACTCACAAAGTCAGGAAAAGGGGAGTATAAATGCCACCAGGAGTTGTATTCTATGGTGAGCTCAAGAGAGATCTTGCCCAGGATCCATTTGAGATAGAGACCCTAGAAAATCCTCCTAAGATTTTTTAGAGAACTTTTTAGAGATTCTTCATGTAAAGTCTGCATTACCTCCTTCGGAAATGTTCAAATTCTGCCTTTCTCCTGATTTTCACTGCCTCAAGTTCACTCTTGTTGTAGGACTCCCGAAAGATGTAGTTCCCTGATTGCTTTTCACATTCACACTGACTTTGGGGGAACAACCTGCAAAAAGAAGACAGACTATAAACATGGTCCATGTGGGTGGACTGGAATGGGGGACCCTTAGACTCACCCCAGTAAAATAGCACCCCATTATTTTTCCCTTTTGTTGCTGGAGATGGCCCAATTAGATTAAAAGACTAGGAATTGAGTGATTATCTCCATGGAGATACAAAGAGATGTCAAAGCTAGAGATGTGGGAGGAGCTATGGGACCAGACTTATTGCTTATTTATCATGTGATGCCACTCTCCCTGAGCCAAGTCTGCACAGTTGGAATTCACCCCAAAGCCACTGCACAACAAGGAAAAGAAAGGAAGAGGAAGGCAGAGCAACTATGGATATGGTTCTTCACATATGCAGAGAAATTCCAAGAGTGTGATGTGGCAGTCAAAAAAGCTAATGCAACCTTGGGCTGCATTAAGAAGGACATAGCTCCCCCAAAGTAGAGTTGTCTCAAATGGAATGGGCTCTTCCAGAGATTGTGGCTTTTCCTTCCTTGGAGGTCTTCAGGCAGAAGGCTGGGTAACCGCTTGTAGGCTATTTTATAGTAGGGATTCCTTTTGTTCATGAAATGAATTAGATGGCTCTGAGGTCCTTGCAAGCCCTCAAATTTTCTGATTCTGTGGCTGAATCAGTACTCAAAGCTTTCTATACTCCAAGTTTCTAATTTCTAAGTTTTTAAACTCAAATTTCTATAACTTGACATGGCCAACCTTTGGGAAGCTTTGACAGGTGGGGAGAGTCCTTTGTCTGGTTCTTTCTTGATTTCTCTTAAATTCATATTTAGATGGTCTTTATATGTCTTCACAATGTCAAAGACCGATTATTTGATGCAGTTCTTGTCATTGCAAAAGTAGTTTCTCTATAGAGTCTGTTTTGTTGGTGGTATATAGGAAGATACACACACACATATATGTAATTTTATATAGCAAGTTTATATAGCAAGTCTATCTTGCTACTTTGCTAAAGTTGTGTATATTAGTGTAATTAGATTTTTGTTGAGTGATTTGAATTTTCTAAGAATACAATCATGGCATACACAAATAAGGAGATATTTTAGTTTTTTAATGTCTATGTTTATGCTATTAATTTCTTTTTTTATGCTGGCTACTAAAATGTAGTTTAAAGCCAGGATATTTACTTTCATTTTTTCTATTTGATGTTTTTTGAAAAGTTATTGATAAATATATTTTGAAACAATAACTTATATATGTTTTGGAATAATTTTTTTTTTACCATTTTAGAACAGATCCTCCTATTCCCATATTTTTAGCATCTTTAAACTTAATATAAATGACTGCTCTATTTTTATCAAAGACTTTCTCTGCACCTCTTTGTATAATCATGCTATCATTATTTTTTCTCTTGTTGCTAAGATTTATAATGTTTATTTCCTGCTATTAAAATATCTGCATTCAAATTACAAAATCTATTTGGTCTTAACAGATAATTTTTTCTTTATTACTTAATCAGTTTACTAGTATTTTATTTGCTATTTTCACTGCTAGTTATGATTGTAATGGCCTTTAGTTTTCTTTCTCAGTCTAATGTTTGTCTAGTTTAGCAATCAAAATCCTATTTTCCTCATAGAAGCATATGGGTGCTTTCCCCTTTGTGCTCAGAAAGAGCCTATTTGATATAAGAGTTACTTGTTCCTTAAAAATTTTGGATAATTAACTTGGGATTCCATCTAAACCCAGTTCCTTTTTCAGCTATGATTTTTTTGTAAGCTCTGTAATTTCTCTTTCCATAAGGTCTTGATGGTTCTATTTAGTTTATCTACTTCTTTGACTTGTCAATTATGATATTTTATAGTTTTTAAAAGTCATCCATTTCTTTTAGGTTTTTAAATTATAATTATGTGTGATTGTCCTTAGAATATAATAGTTAATAATAATAATTAACTTTTATATAACACTTATTATGTGCCAAGTACTTCACAATTATCTCATTTGATCTACACAACAACCCTGGAAATAAGTATTATTATTATCCCCCTTTCACAGCTAAAGAAACTGATAAGGAAAGTGACTTGCTCAGGGTCACACAGCTAGTAAGTGTCTGAAGCTGAATTTGAACTCAGGTCTTCCTGACTCCCGGTCCAATACTCTATCAACTGAACCAGCCAGCTGCCTTTCCTGGTGAATTATACATAGCATGTGCAGATATTCCTTGTCCTTCTTCTGATGGATCAAGGAGTCTTGGTGAGATAGTTTTGTCCATAAGTGATTTGAGGGCCATTGCTGCATTGACTTTTGACTGGCTATGGACTTAGGAACCAGTGACTCAGAAGGTACTAAAACTGAAACAGTTCAAATACAAAAAGATTAACATGCTTCTATCTCTACCTCTTTTTTCTTTCTTTTCCTTCCTGGAGGTGTGAGGCAAGAGCTCCCATGAGCTACTGGGAAGGAAAGGGGAAGCAACTACCCTATCTCCCACTTAGCCACCATGTGTCTATGAACACAAGCCACTTCTCCACCTTTTGTGCTTATTCTTTCCTGATCCCAGGTGAATGAGGATTGCTAGAGAGGAGTTCCCAGGTGACTAGTGAGACTGGACAGTACATCAAAGCTAAGAGGAGTCCCACTGGCTACCAGAGCCCTGGTAACAGCACCCAAGGTCAATGAGAAGACCCAGCCACAGCCCAGCCACATGATTAACTAACTCAGCAGTGGACTGACCCATCAGCTGAGACTTGCAATGGGACAGAGAACCTAGATTATAGTCATCCTGACTGTGGCAGAAATAAAAACACCCAAGATGATGCACAAATTTCCCCTACTATCCAGAATGGTTGAGACTTTTACCTTGCTTCTTGAAACTAATTATGGTTGCTTACACCTCAACCCAAAGCACCTGGTTAAAGCACTTCATAGTCAATTATTAATTTTTAAAAGCTAAAACATTTTACAACCAATTTGGCCCAGCCACTAATACACCCTATCAATTTACTTAACCCCTATAATTGTTCCACTTATATTTTCTTACTTATCTTGCCTTCTCTGGTCTTGTCATCTACTTTCTCCTCCCCCTTTTATCCATCACTTCAACCTCAACTTCCTAGTTCAGCTTTATTCTCTTTAATTCTTTTATATCCTCTTTAATTGTCCTTGCTCTTGCTTCTCTTATAGCCTGAAAGTAGAAACTGAACCAGGATCTGGGCCTGGAGATTGTTTTCCTTCAACTTTTCTTCATTTTTTCCCCCAAATTTTATCAAGTTTTTTGTCTCCCCAAATTCAAGTTCTGCCCTACTCTTCTAGTTCAAACCCATTCAAGGTACCGAAATGATTTCTTTCTTCTTACTTAGCTTAAATCCTCTTCTCATCTCCTATTCCTTCCCCCACAACCTTCTCCCATAGAAGCCAGAAGTATAATCCTAGAAGAGATGAATATCAGAATTCCTTAGCAGGAAACTACACCTAGCAGAGATTAAACACAGAGGAGACAATTAAACACCACAAGACCAACAGTGTAACACCCACTTGAGACTATAGATTCATCAGTCACCAAGGGTCACCTAGACACCCGTGGAATAATGCATTCAGAAGATGAGCCACATCTAACCAGAATCAAACTCGGTGAGGGCTGTATGATGACATCACCAGAAGACAATGGTTATCCTACAGCATGAGAGACATGAATCTCTCCTGCATTTGCCCTGAGTACACACATTTCTCAGCATGTAGGTGGCACAGCAGAGAGAACACCAAACCTGGAGTTAGGAAGACTCATCTTCCTGAGTTCAAATCTGGCTTCAGATACTTCCTAGCTGTGTGACCCTGGGCAAGTCACTTAACCCTATTTGGCTCAGTTCCTCATCTGTCAAATGAACTGGAGAAGAAAATTGCAAACCACTCTAGCATCTTTGCCAAGAAAATTCCAATAGGGATCATGAAGAGTCAGACATGAATAAAAATGACTGATCAACAACATGTATTTCCTGTTTGTGCATCCTTCTACATCTGTGCTTTGGCCAGGTGCTCCCATGAGCATTCCATCCCTGGAGTTTTCTGCATCTTCATCTCCTCCTGGCTTTCCTGGTGTCATCAAATCAAACCCCACCTGCTTCAGGAGGTCTTTCACATTCTCTTCCAATTCTAGTACCTTCACTCTGAGAAAACCTTTCATTTAAACTGTTTATATCTTGTGCATACATAGTCATTTGTATGTTGTCTCCCCCATTAGAATGTGAGCTTAAGAGTCTGGTCAATATGGCTGATCTTTAATAAACCTCGTCTTTGGCTAAAATAAGATTTGGGTCAAATTCTTTCAGGCAGGACCCACGTGTCATGATTTTGGGGTCCTAGAACCCCTAACATCTAAACATCAACATTTTTGGTTCCTTGAGACTGGGAAAAACTGCCTAATCCCAAATTCTTCTCCAACCAAGACTGGAAGATCTCAATCAGGCTAAAGAAAAACTGGGTTGATACTCTGAAGATTGAGGGTAGGGGAAAAAGAGACCACATGGTAATTTGCTGTTAGAAGGGCTGAAAATGTCATTTTGAAAGCAAATAAATTTTCTTTTCTTCTTTTTTTTTTTTGGTTAGGCAATGGGGTTAAGTGACTTGCCCAGAGTCACACAGCTAGTAAGTGTTATATGTCTGAGGCTGACATCAGCCAGGTTCTGAAGTCTGACCCCTTGAACAGGACCCAGAGAGGCAGGGACAGCTTTATGCCCCTTGCCAGCAGGAAGCAGTTTTAGAAGTCGAGACCTTTGCCCTTTACCCACAAAGAATTAGGGTTCCATTTGTTTGAGGGGAGAGTCATGGGGTATGGGCCAAAGACAACCCCCATAAAAACACCTTCCTTCAACTTTACTTGAATCCTTTTACCTGATCAAGGAATTCTAGCAGTCTTCTGAGGTTATTCTTATCCCTATCAACTGGTTTTTCCTTATCACCAATGCCCAATCTACCAATTCTTTATTAATCCAATTAAAGTCTAGCCTTCTATTGTCTATTAAAATTGTCCAACCTACAATAAAACAAACTGAGGCAGAGCTCTGAGCCAATGGCACTTTATTAGAGGGTTCATAGTCCCCTCTAATGAAGTAGAATTCAGATCTTCCTCATGATCTGAGATGCCCCCTTCTTTCAGGGCCTAATTTTTTATTTTTATTAATTAATTAATTTATTTATTTTTGCAAGTCAGTTGGTGTTAAGTGACTTGCCTAGGGTCACACAGCTAGTAAGTGTCAAGTATCTAGTCTGAGATCAGATTTGAACTCAGGTCCTCCTGACTCCAGGGCTGGTGCTCTATCCATTGTGCCACCTAGGGGACCTCAGGACCTTATTTTTTATAAGGCTTGATACCAGATTTGGTACCTGAACAGTCTAAAGGGGCTATACAAAGTACAGAATCCCATTGATTGATAGACCTTGTTTCATGAGCCAAAAATGATACATCAGCTAGATACGGTATTTCAGCAGGGGGTTCTCAGGTTGGGTGAAGCACTTAGTGGAAGTGGTCATAATATGGTCATAAGATGTTCACCTGCTCATGTTGGACAAGAGGGTATGGTCTGGAGGTACAAAATAAGTTAGGAAACTTTCCATGTCAGTGAGTCGCCTCTGTCTTATTAGGCTTGATGACCATAATAAGAAAAAACAAGAGTGGAGGGACTCTAGTCAGCTTCCTATGATTAAGCAGGTGAACTTACAATCTGTAGCTCATAGCTCTGGGGCCCAATATATAGAACTTATAATCACTACCCCTATGAAATCATAGCAAATAGATCAGTACTGATTGGAATAGAGTCGGGGTCTAAATGAATTATTTCTCACACCCCTCCCCAGCTTTCTCCTGTTCTAATTAAAACACTAACCCCAAAACAAAATATGTCACTGGAGCAACTCAGAAATAATCATTCAGAAAAGTATGAAATACCTACTATGTACCAGGCACTGTACTAGGAAGCAGAGTAAAAGACAAAAAAGTAGTAAACATCCCTGCTCTTAAGGAGCTCATATTAAATTGTTAGGAGCAGGGGTTGGGGATGGAGTTGGACACAGTAATGGTGACAATATGAACACATGTATTTATAGGCAAAATAATACAAAGTAAATACAGAGCAATTTCTGGGTTGAGGTGTGCCCAGTGTGCACTAATACTAGCAACTGGGAGAATCCTGATAGTTGTCATTGGCACTTGAGAGGAACCTTGAAGGAAGCCAGGGATTCTAAGAAGTGGAACTGTGAAAAGAAAGCATTCCAGGCATGGGGGATAAAGGCAAGGAGTTGGGAGGTGGAATGTCATGTATGGGGGTCAGTTTGGTTGGAGTGTGTGAAGAAGAGGAACATGCAATAAGTCTGGGAAGGTAGACTGGAGGTGGATGGTGAACAAAGGGGAGCTTCATGGACTGTGTGGTATTTGAATTGGATCTTCAAGAATAGGCCACAGGCAGAGATTGGGTAGGTGAAGACATTACCAAATTAAGAGGGATGAGAATGAGTATTTGTTAAGTGTCTAATACACACACACACACACATATATGCCAGGCACTGTGCTAAGCTCTTTGCAAATGTCTCATTTGAGTCTCCTGAAAAGCCCGAGAAGTAGGTATGATTATTATCATTTCTATCTTACAGTTGAGGAAACTGAGATAGATAGAGACTAAGTGACTTACTCAGGGTCACACAGCTAAGTCTTTGAGGCTGGAATTGAACTCAGGTCTTCCTGACATGAGGCTCATCACTTTATCCTTTACATTACTTAGCTACCTCCTCGGAAACAGTTAGCCTTTGGAACTAGAGAACAAAATGATAGAATGTGGTACTGAGTTCTATAGGAGCTCAGAGAAGGGGTGGAGAATTCAGGGAAGGCTTTAAAAAAAGTGTGCTTGAACTCAACTTTGCAGTTTAGGTTAGGCTTGGACAGGCTCAGATGAAGATGAGATAAGGTAATTTTAAACAGAGTTTTGTAAGTACCAAAGCAGGAGTGATTTCCCAGAAGAGTATTTTACATATACATATACATATACATATATTATGTGTGGGGGGGATTAAGTATAAACAATGGAGCCACTCACTTTAGGGATGAGGTAAAAGAGGCATTTGTTTTATTTAGTTTGGGCTAATCACTTTAGAGGGTGGAGACACTTTATTGCTTGAGGTATAAAAGGCTTAGCTCGCGAAAAGTTGGTGCCGGATGTTTTCCTTTAATAAGGAAGGTTTTTTTGACTTTCATGGCTGACTACTATAGTGGATGCAGAAACAGAGGGAAGGAGCCATTTTGTTTGACTACTTGTGATTGCATTTAACAGTTCATAAGTGCCTTATTTCAATTTTTTGACCTTATTGCATTTTAACCCCAAGTCTAAATCACTGGACTGGCATGAAGGGGACTTGAGTAAGGGAAATCTGGTCCTTTACAAAGGACTTTGGATTTTAGGATTGCCTATCTATAAGCTGTGACAAGAGCACCCTGATGCAATTTGCAGGGAATGAATTTTTTTCTTTTTTTAGCTGAGAAGAGAATACAGGGAGTATGCCCAAGAGTAGCTTGATAAGACAAAGCTAGATCTTTGATGAGGTGTGAATTCTTCTGGCCCTGGTTATTCCCAGTATCCCTTTAATACTTTGTTAAGGATGGTCAGTGATTACAGTCCAGTTCATACATCAAAGCTATAATGATGTGACCTTTAAAATAAAGGATTTGAGGACTGAAAGCAACTCAAAGAGGAGGGCAACACAGAGTTGGTCTTGGTTACTTAGAGAAGAAGGATGCTCATCTAACATTGCATTTGGAGTTAGAGCACCAGGGTTTGAATCCTGACTTTGCCTTTTACTACTTCTATGACCTTGGGCTAGGCACTAAGCCTCTTTCATTTTCAGTTTTCAAATCTTCAAAATGAGAAGGGATTGATTGGCCTCTGTGGGCCCTTACAACTATAAATCTATGATTTAAATCTATACAGTGAATGAGCAGAACTAGGGTTCAGGAGAGAGAAGTGAGGTAAGGGGCAACATCTCACCAGAGTCCATCATAGTTAAAGAGTTTCCTGAGTTCCTCCTGAGACAATAACTTCAAGGCAAAGGGAGGTGGAAAGTTTGACTTCGGTAGGTATTCCTGGGATTCCTGGAGATTTCTGAAGACTTGCAAGAGAAGACCACAAACCAACAAAAGGGAAAACACCAGTAACCATTTGAGATGGATCCATTGCCTCAGGGATCTCCAGCTGTTGAAAGGAAGAAACAACGTCTTACTTTACAGATTTTTCTACTCCTCACAGAACTTGGACTAGGTGTCTAATTGCGCAGGGTCTGAGCAATGTAAATGACAAAGACTCAAATCCTGTCCTGAGGGAATTCATGGTCTAAGTCAGACACATGAACAAAAATATTGGGCACAGGAAAAATAGCAGAACATCACCTTCCATCTGTCTGGAAAATGTGCACCCAGGACCTGGGGAGTGAGAAGCCCTGGCTATAACTGAAGTTGAGGACATTAGCACTAGCTCTAAGCCTTTTAATCCTTTGCACCCGTGGTGCCAAACTCAAATAGAAATGGGGCCACTAAACCATAAGTACGGATCCCTGTGAGTCAAATATTGGCTTAGTTTTAAAATGTAATATTATCTATTTTTATTGTATTGCTTTATATTTTATTACATATTTCCCAATTACATTTTTCTTTTTCTTGATTAATCAATCACACTAACAGCAAAAGATGGCCAAAATCATATAGGTTATCTTTTTAAAAAATTTTAAGTATTTTTTTAATTTATGGAATTAAGCATTTCTGTAGCACAGTACAATAAAAAAGATGATTGCACATGAAACTGCAAATCTACTATGCACAATTTGCTATTCCTTTCAAATATACAACAAAATTATCATGTAAATTTCTTTTTTTTCCTTTTTTTCTTCCCTCCTCCCCCACTCTAGAGATGGCTACCATTAGATATGTTGAGGTTTAGAGTTGAGAGAGCTGGTTCAGGTGTGAAAGAATTCACTTAGACCTTCTCTGTAGCCATTGGGAGCTTTATTTTGTGAAAGCTTCAAGGGCCTGAAGTTAGCAAGGAGCTAAACAAAGAGCACCGATATAGGAGAAGACCCAGGCTTATACAGACAGAAAGCTATACAGCCTGTAGAATAATGATATATTTTTAAAGTTTCATATGAGAGTTGGAGATTAGGGACAGGATAAGACCAAACAAGATGAGGAAGATGGTTGACTCAGGATGAGGAAGGTAAATGACAGGATAAGGGAAACAAAGGTAATTCTTTTGGTACAAGTTGTATAGCATTGCAAGATAAGAGGAAAAGGACTTGAGAAGTTCTCAAGTCCCAGGATCTCAAGGTACAGGATGGTCTACAGAATAAGCCTCAAACTCCTTCAGGGAGCCTGGGAAAGTAACCCTTAATATTATTTTTAATCCTAGGGCACTCTTTGTCCCCACATCATATCCCCACTCAAACACTAGGCAGGAGAAATCTTTCAGAAAAAGGAGCAAAGGTCATTATCTTCAGTAGCTGCTTCTTGCTGAACAGGGGTAAAGAGTCATTTCAAGGGCTGAGAATAGGTTGAGGAGGGGAGATCAGTGTGAAGGTGTGGGATGCAGTGCCAGCTAAGTCCAGTGTGGAGAGAGGCAAACTACCTGGGGACACCAAGGGTAGGGGCTGGTATCCTAAGAGTTGAAAGTGGAATTTCTGCAGGCAAGAAGACACTAATTGGACCAGTAGGTTAAACAAACACAGACCAAATATAAGAGCAAGTAAAATGATGGAGGAACCATGATCCCCAGGAGGATGTAGGGGGAGATATCAGGCTGCAGTGGATGTCTGGCATCCAAGAGGCTGCCTATACAGTCCTTCAAGTACTTAAAGGATAAATTCCATAAATTTTCAGGGAATAGGAGGAGAGCTATGGGCCATAAATTAGTTGACACACCCAGCAATCATGTACAATGCCCTACCCCACAGAGTTCCCTATTTGAATTAAAGCATTTGATTCCCAGTCCCAGGAAAGCAGGCCTAACCCTAGGCATATGGTGAGCTAGGAACAGAAGTGGTTCAAGGTAGGGCCCAGAACACAGCATAGCTAGAAAGTACACAGGCAAGTCTAATATTTGCTTTTGACAAACAGGATTATCTGATCTTGTTATTTCCTCAAAAGTTTCCACTCTGATTCCAAATCTTTTAGGAGGATAAGATGCTACTGAGGATTCAACTTTATACATGTAAATATAAGTAATAACACTTTTGCAGGTAGAGGCTTTCTACCCTTGAGTTCAGTAGTTATACAAATGAATTTATTTAGAAGAGACTGACTTTTACTCGTTATCATAAAAGACTTAGGAAGATCCCTAAGTAATTAATTCTAAAACAGTGTATATCAGCAAGTTGTTTACAATAAAACATGTTTGTATCACAGGACACACAGAATAAACAGGTATTATTTCCACAACAGTAATAAACTTGCAGTTGATGCAATTAATTAACCAATGCATCAATAATTGCATTAATGAAAAAATTTTCCATAAGTTACCTCCCTCTAAGAAAATTGCACTGAAATTCTTTTCCCCAAACTGAAGATGTCTCTGATTTAGTTTCAGTAGTTAATAGAATAACAGTTAGGTCCCTCAATCAGTTGTACCAATACCCAATCATTCTTAGATCATTTTGAAACATTTAAGGACCTTATTCCATACAGACATATATCTAGTAATAGGCAGATATCTAGGCCAAATACCCATTTCCTAAGTTGCTTAAGAAATAGAAATGAATATAATCTTAGGCTGAATAGCTCAGATCTTAAAACACACACTTTAATACAGTAGCTCAGATGTATCCCAGCCTCAGTCTGTGGGATAATGGTTCAACATTGTGTTTGTACCTTTGTTTCACAAACTTTTTTTCTTTGTCTAATTATTCCATATCATTCAGAAAGAATGTTCTATTCCAGGGATTTAATCTTTCGCATATGCAGGAGTACTAATTTACACAACTGTTTGGGATACTGGATGACTACACTTTCAGATTGAAAACAGCAAGATTTTACATACTTGCATTGTGCTCATATCTTCTACTGTTTGCTTTGATTATGGAAATTTGCCATAAAAAGGAAAGCTAAGAACACAATTAGATAAAACATCATAGTTTTCCAATCATGCAGTATTAATTCCACCTCATAGCCAGACTCAGGAGTAGTCAGATGGAAAACATTCCTTTCCAAAGGAACATAATGGGGAAACTGAGTCAGGAGGATCCCATCTTAGACTGAAGTTAAGACATCCTCTCAGCTTTTCTAGATGCAGACCTCCACCTATAACAGTCACATTCTGAGTAACTTGTGGCATTTCTCTCAGATGATGGATTATTGACTATTGATTATGGATGGATTTTTATGATCCATCAGACAACTCAAAACCCAATTTGTTATGGTCCCATGAGCTTTTACCTCGGATGGCAAGTTTCAGTAATCAAAAATTTGCCAGAACTCAGATCTCAAATGTAAACTTGTCCACATACAAAAGCCAATCACTACAGATCATTTCTATATATTAACAAATTCTCAGCAAGCCAACATCCTTGTTTAGGAACTTCATGATCCAAACGAGCTCTTTGGCAAGTTTACAAAATTAAGGATGATCAACAGGATTCCCAAAGAAGGAGCTGCCTTATCCACCCCATCTACCTTTAGAACTGCTAAGGATTGTGCTTTTCCACTAGCCCTGAGGACTGCTCCTTTCCACACATACACTGTAATCAATTACCAGCTTTAAGTTTTAACATTGTAACAATAACCAACAATCTTACAATTTTCATAAGTGATAACTTAATTGTTTTAGCTGTAACACAAAACAATAAGCTTCTGACCAACAATTACGCTTCTAGATCATATAAACATTATTGATAGAAGGATGTGCTGGCTTACCAAGTACAGAAGCAGACTGGCTTCTTTACCTTGACCCATACCCTTTCACTCTCTCCCCATGGCTGTTTGCTGAAAGATATTTCCAGTCTGTAGCTGCTGCCCCTCCCCCTCCTTCGTATAGCCAGGTCGGGGAAGGTGAATTTGCAGGCGGGGGAAAGGGTGAAATTCTCTTTTCCTAATCTGATCTGGGAGGAGAGGGTTAACAGGAAAATCCGGGGTTGTTTGGAATCTCCACACTGAGAAACCCTCTAGACTCAGGGGAAGGGAGTGGGGAAAGAGAGTGAGGGAATTATAAGGAGGTGTTAAAAAAAACTCCTTAATGATCAATCTCAAAACTTCCAGAATATGCTAAGATGTTTTAGCTATCCTAACTTTTTCATTTCTATGTCCACCCCTTAAAAGCTTAGAGTGGGGTATTGAACCTTTCAGATCGACATTCGAGAGACCAATGCCCTTTCTTATGGTACCTGAAGCACGAACCATTGACTCTATTTCTCTGAAAGCACTGGATCCAAGAACACAACAAATGTAGGAATGAAACTTAGAATTCTAATTCACAGTAGATTTGGACATAATTTTTATCAGTATCAAATTACTTGGAAATGAAAATTTAGTAAGCCTTCTAGAAATCACACAAAAAGATTTTTGCAAAACATTTCTTAGTAAAAAGTATTTCTCTTTCTTAAAAAGAAGCTTAAAATTTATCCTGATGTTAAAAGGAATAATCACAAAACTTTCATGAAGTAAATTAGCTGGAAACATAAAAGATTGGAATTTACCAAAACCAAGTTGGTGTAAAATGTCTTTTAAGTATCACAAATTCCCAAAGTTCCATAAAACCAAATTTTCAATAATCACAAATTCCTAAGTACCAAAAGGTGTTTACTTTGGGAAGTTCAGTTTTTTCTAAGGCAAGAACATACTTAATTAAATTAGCCTTATCACAGTAACAAAGTTTACCAGGCCTTTAAAAATTTACTCAGTAAGAATTCCACTATAGAAGACTTTGCATAGGGTTGATAAGAAATTATGACTAGATAGTTCCAAAAACTGTTGTCTTAGTTAATAACCTCATAATCTGACAGTACAATTCTTTTTTTTTTTTACAAGTTTCTTTTTTTCTTCTTCTTTTTTTTGGGGGGGGGGGTTAGGCAATGGGGTTAAGTGACTTGCCCAAGGTCACACAGCTAGTACGTGTTATGTGTCTGAGGCCTGATTTAAACTCAGGTCCTCCTGAATCCAGGGCCAGTGCTCTATCCACTGTGCCACCTAGCTGCCCCAACAGTACAATTCTTGATC